CCGAAACGACGGGCGAAGAAAAATATTATCGAAGCAATCGAGTCGTCTCCTTCTCGAGGGCTAGACAATAAATCAGTATCATTACAATTATCTACTCGATTCGATCGCTAAGCTTGATTTGTTTGCGAATTTTAAGAGTTACTGTACGTTGGATAAATCTTTCCAGACATCATGTTACCATAATCAGCGACGTGACTATTTTAGCAGAATTAGTAAAATCCATTTCATATGGTATAACAGAGTGATGGCCATTTAGCAGAGATACATAAGGAGTAAAAAACGAAGCACAACATGCATTTTTATAGAGATCTACCATGGAAACGTTTTCGGGTTAATATGACTTTAAAGTCCATGGGTGGAGTTTCCTCATATGACGTTGAGATATTTGTGGAACCTTAATTAAAGGTTGGGATATTTTGAGACGGAATACCAACAAATTGACCCCGAAAAAATGATAAATAGTAGCGTTATCTGTAGGCTTCAACAGTACGTAATTACGTAAAAACTTAGCTTGCCTTTCCGGATAGACGGTATCATTCACGCAAATATATCAAGTCTGTATGTGGATGCACCCGTCGTAACCGCCATTAAAACGCCATCAGGACCTCCGTACCAGACACGGAGAACTCTCGTAAAACGAAGTTTCTGTCGACGTTACAATGGCGGTTACAATGGGTGCATCCACATAAAGACTTGATGTATGTTTACGTGAGAGATATCGTCTCTCCTGAGAGTAAAGCTCACTTTCAAAATTCCAGCACCTTGCTTAAGATATGTTCAATCGTAATACTTAGATACGATTATAACATGCATTTTTGTGCAGCATAATTTCCAGACATTGCAATTACGTCAGGGCGTCGGCTTTTAAGTGGAGTTCTATGCAAAGGCATGCAAAAATTATGCTTTTTAAAAATGATTACTCAAGCATTATGAAGTGGTCCCATGGATTGTCAATGCGTCTATAAATTCAACTATAGTTCACAAAAGACGTGCACGAAAATATTCATTGATGCATTCATTCTTGTAGAAAATCCCCTCTTTTCAATTTCATCGTTTTGAAACAAATTTTTTTAATAAATAAAAAGTTTTTAATGATAGAATCGTTTAAGACAGTTAAATATCCGCTCATAAAACATAATACATCTCCATTTATTAGTGCCAATTGTGAAGTATAAACACAATCGGCATCAGCGCAAAGTGCGTGAGTTCTAGGTCACACCTTTTTAATAGCATATAGTAATGCCTAATTTTGCTTGCACAAAAAATAAAACGCCTGAAGTTTCGAACTCCTGAATGTTGGTGTACGAGTAGGTCGGGTTTAAAAGCTCTCAGGAATTGGAAAAATCTTTCAGCGCCGAAAGATAAAATTCCTTCAAGTACAACATATAAAACAAACACAATTTCCAATCAAATGAGTACAAGAAAGAACACTTTTATGCATGTTTTCTATAGAATGTGTTTGGGTTCAAAAGGACACTTCACGGGCTAAAAACTACTTTTATAAAATTTTAATAAAAGTATTATAATTCCTATATAATTGAAAACTAAAAAACTCATTTATTTTCCGAGAGGTAACGTTGTTTGTTTGTTGAAAAAAGTATACGCGAATTTAGTAGAGCATAAAAAATAAATGGGAGAAATTCATACTACTTAGCTGGTTACTTTTTATAGTGTGTAGCGTTTTCGGGCAACCAATAGGATGCTCGTTCAAAAAGCACCTTTTCCACATACGCGCCGTATTTGGGAATCATGCTGCAGATTAATTTATATCACTACCCTCACCTAAATAATCCATCCCACTTGAAGATGCATTTCTGAATTTTGGCCAAATTTCATTAGATAGCACATCAATTGCAATTGGGAAAGGTAATAGAAGAGCGATTTGCGAAGGACATCTGGCATACGGATATCAAACGTCATTCAAAATAACTACTGAATCGATCTCCTCCCAAACTAGGAGGTATGCTGACTTCAGGTCACAACAAGAAACGCCCAACCGGAGGTTAATAGGCCGGGTTTATGCGAAAATTGCCCATTCGTTGTTATTTAGCTGAAATTAGGTGGTTACACACGCGTGAAGCTTGTATACGTGCATTTTGGCACTCTCAAAACTAGCTCCTCTCCTGCTGTCCATAATATGGTCATTAAAATTGGCGTTTCTTGCAAAGGTTAGACGGAATAAAAAGAACCATGGATATTTCTGCGGAAAATGGAGAAAAGCCATGCTACTTAAAGTACAAAAATAAAATCTCCAACTTTTCTGCAAACCAGTATTTTTCGGATGCAAAATAATCATTTCAAAAGGAAATTTTCTGAGCTGATTTGGCTTTATGTATTCAAGGGTTGCCAAACAGGCTGTTGCTCCTCCGTCAAGGTATTTTTACGTACACTAGTGTTAGGAACCCTCGGCAGTACAGCTAGCTCTTTCGCAGTACTCAAGGAGGCGTAGATATTCCTGTATCTTAAGGCTTCTCCTAAAGGAAATTGTGCCATAAACCGAACCCTATTTGAGACCTAACGCAAGCCCTAAACTTAATCCAAATCTCGACGATAGCCTAAATAATTAAACAAATGTCCCTGAAATTCACGAATAAAATCCAACCGGGGGCGGGCGGTGGAGGGAGGGAAGGAGCAATTATTCTCTTGCCACTGCCTTTTTCAAGATGGTTTTTCGTTGACGGCCATAGTCTTTTGAAAGAGGAAGTAAGTACGGTAGAATAAGCAGAAAACCTTTTTATGTGCAACCAAATAGAAATGCCTGCTTGGGTAGAAGTGGAGGATATTTGGTGTGGGGTCGGATTTGCTTCGAATAGGCTGAGCTTCTGTTCAGGTGGATGAGCTTCAAGTATGGCGTCTAATCCAAGTATCTTCTTGTTTCTCGTGCCAGCGTCAACTCAATTCAAAGGACGGGTTTTACCCAAATTGCCTTCAAAGGTTACGTAAACCATAGTCCATGGTAAGTGACGCATCCCATGAGGTGTTGGCTGGACTCTTGATATGTAATCTCAGCTCGAAATGATTGCTTCCGTACGTTTTTCGTATTAGTTATCACATAGAACAATCGTGTTGGGATGCCAGTGTAATTGCTATACTCCCTTCTGCCCGAAAGGTCATGAGATCGTAAACCACCAGTAAAACAGGTGCTTTGCGCGAATTTCCGTGTAGTTTAGAGTTGGGATTAAGTGTAGGATTAGGATAAGGGTTGCGATTAAGATTAAATTAGTCTAAGGATTTAGGGTTGGGGAAAGAGTAGAGTCTATGATAAGGATAACAGTAGCTTATGTAGTGTAACTCATTAATCCCTAGTCCCAACATTTTCACCTACAACAACGGTGGGCATTGGGTTTATGGGTGGCGAATTAGGGTAGGCAGTGGAATACACTTTAATAACTGCTATTTGCATTTTTATTTAATTCGGAATTCAAACCTATTATTTTATACCTAAAATATAAATAATTGGGCTAAAAATTTAGAAGGAGACGTAAGTTCCTATATAACGTGTACAAGAAGGGATAATTTTATGATGTAATTTGCAAAATAGGTTTGGACGTATAAGGACGTCAAAAATCAGTAGAAACATTTCAGAATACTTCCATAGTTTCCTTATTGAGCGTATTTTTACATTCGCTTCCCACTGTTCTTAATCAAAGAGACACTATTATTTCTAAGTGGTAGAACATCTATCTTTGGTTTATCTAATACAAATAATTGGGAGAGTGTTCATTTTCCAACGATTGCTCAAGCTAATGTTTACCGAAGTCCTCATTTAGGTTAATCCAACATCTGGGCTAAATTCAAGGACACTAAACGGTCCTTTCTCGAAAACAATCTCGTTCTGGAGAAGCAGGCGTAAACAAAACGCAGATGCCTGGATAGAACGAAGACTCCTACAGTTTCCAAAAGGGTTGACTCGTGTGTTCTCGGAGTTTGTAAACAAACGCTTCAGTGAGAGATAATTTGCTCATGGTAAAATTTTGAGGGTAGTTGAAGCACCCTTGTAAAATGGGGCCATAATTATTCAAAGAAATAAATCCCATTATTGTAACCTTGAAATCCAGAGTAAAAGTTTTGTAACTAACGGTCTTCCGGGCAAGCATACTGGCAAGGACAGTGCCCTGATTGGAAAGTGGTTTTTAACCAACCTCTCTACCAAGAAATATTGCATTGACAAAATCCATTTGCCTACAGAAAAAGTATTTCTGACATCATGTACATATAACGTAGGCATATTTAAATAAAACGGGGAGACCCATTGAAATGCCTCTAAGAAAGTAGTCTTTTAAGGTAAAATCTATGTAAACATATTTGTTGGGAGTGAAAGTTAATTTGTGCTGCCTGTTATGGAAAAAAGTGATGTCTATTTTAAAGGTATAATAAAATTATCTTCTATCAAAAATATTGTCCATTATCATGTTTATTATCTCCCATCTCTTGGGTAAGAAATAAATTCCACGGTAAGAAAACCATTGAACGAACCAATTTTTGAATTTTACGTAGGAACTTAAACGCTACTTACCAAGTCTAAATTGCACTAATAAAGAACAAATTATATTCTGACGAAAAATGGCTGGCGCACACCCGTTTGGATACTTCATTCCAGCTAAATATTTTCGCAGTTTCCTTCACTACTGATGCAGAATGGGGGTAAGCGTTGTCATCTTGCAATACTGCTCTATCATATATTCCATCATATTATGGTTCCTTCAGCTCTTTTCATTATTCTTAATTTCGTTCGACAGTCATAGTTTCACATAACTTTAGGAAACTCATAAAACACCATTTCGGTTTTGCTGCTTCCATAAACATTATGTTTTCGTGTTAATGTTGATTGTTGATCAGAGGTCCTCTAGGGATTTTTGGCATTTTTTTAGTATCGCAACACGTGCACACGTGAGTTTAAGGCTTTCTTATTGTCCTTCAGTCAAATAAGGTTGTGCGTAAATTTCCTGTTTTGTACCGCTTTTATTGCATGTAAACCTTTTCCAACATCGGGTCTACCAACAAAGAATATTTTTGACACTTATTTAAGCGTTTTGCCTAACGCACGATCATTTACAGTTGCCAATTCTTCATCTTCAAATTTCAAGGCTGCCCTGAAGTCCATGTTTTTATAGGGGAAACCCCCCTACCGAAGGATATCTGACGTATAGAACGGATCATGGATTATATTAAAATATTGTTATTTTGCTCTCTAGGTACATTTACTATGACGAGATGACCTTCACCGGCGTCGTCGGTACCATTAGAACCCTGTATGCGGCCAGAAAGTACTGCTTCTATGACCTAGCCCGGGCTTGCGTAAACTACTTGGAGAACAATGTTTGCATCGAGCATATCTTCCGGTTACTGCAGGCTGCAGTGGACTTCCACGAGGACCGTTTGAAGGACCTTTGTATGCGCCTAATCATCAACGACACCTTTGAGGTGATAAAGAAGGAGGAGTTTAAGGACATAAAGAAGGAATTGGTAATCATGATTCTTGAGCAGGATGTACTCAACGCACGTGAAATCGAAATCTTTGACCAGGTGATGCATTGGGCCGAAAATGAGTGCGATCGTCTGAAGATACCCGTCACCGCAATGAATCAGAGAATTGCCCTCGGAAATCATAATTTTGCCCTTATTCGGTTTCCAACCATTCTAGCCCACGAATTCGCAACACATGTTGTCGAGAGCGGAGCCCTGAGAACGGAGGAAATAATCCCTATTCTACAATACTACATTACGGGTGAGTGGCTTTTTCTCCTGTTCAAAGCACTGATAGATGTCAACAAACACGCTCTCGAAAAAGTAGTTATAGTGACACCCTACAACTACCCTTTGTGGGGGGGG